CGAAAAACCAAACCAAACAAACAAACATTAAAAAACTCTGAAGTTAATGAACCGAAATCATAATTCAGGCAATCTGTCTTAAACAGATTCTTCCCCTTTTTGCCATCTACTCCCCAAAAGTGTCAGCTCCCTTAACCCAGTGATTATTCAATAATTACGCAAGACAATGTGCTTGCACTGTAAGTCAGGCACACTAGGGATTGGTACAATTACCATAGAGTCTGGCCATGCTAGAGCATCCCTGGGCAATCCCTACATGGTGCAAGGTTTCCTCCTGCAGTTTCATACCCCTCCTCCTCTCCCTCCAGTATCATCTCCATACTGTGCTCCTGTCACACCTGCTCTTCCCCAACACAGCACTATGGCGGTATTTTGGGAACTGCCTTCACTTGAATGCAACTTCTTTTAGCCCATAAGCTCTATGGAAAGAGGAACTGTGCCTGTCACACCCACCCTTGTGTCCCTGGCACTGAGTGAGCATTAAATGGCTGTTGCACATTGTTGAAAGGGAACTAGAGGCCCTCAGTTATCCCACTGCCACAGTGCAACGCTGCAGAGGAGAAAAGATGTAAAGGGTACCTAGGGAACGTGAAAGTCCTACCAATATTCTTCTAGATTTAAGCTCAACAGAAATTGTCTTTTGGCCTTTTGAAAGAAGCCCTGCAGTTAATGATTTAGTTTATTCAGGGTTCCCTTTCTCTGCTGTCTTTGGTCCTGGTCCAGAACTTCCCCCTAACTGCTGACCAAAGTCCTTTTCAGAAAATATAATTTCTCCTTCCTAATTAGGGCAGCATAGCTGGGGCTCAACAAGGAAAAGTCCTATGTAGAAAGAATATTCACAACCTACTATCTAGACCAAAGAATCTCCCATCTAGAGAGAAATGCAGAAGGATCTGAGCCTAGAGAAAATACCTCTTCTTTTGTCTCCTCAAGCCACAAGTGACTCTGCTCCTAGACTCACTAAAGGGTTCTCCTGCTCCCAAGGCCACAGGATCCTGGGGGACCACTCAGAAGACAAGGGTCTGTCTTCTGGCCTCTGTCTGCCGAATTGCTCTGATGTTTGGGGATTGGAGAGATTGGCTGGGGTGGCAATGGGGCAGTGAAAGAAGAGATAATAAAAGAAGTAGGGTGAAACATTAAAGTGCGGGAGTAGCAAGCACACACGTGACAAGGATTGCACTGGTGCCAAATGCTCAAATTTCCTCTACTGTTTGTCTGTCTGACTGGGGATTGAACCCAGGGGTGCTCTACCACTAAGCTACATCCCCAACCACTTTTTTTTTTGCTTCCGGGGATCGAACTCAGGACCTTGCACTTTTGAGGCAGGCGGGGCGCCACTGAGCTAAATCCCCGGCCCAGATTTTCTGCACTGTTAAATCCAAGGCGACATGAACTCCTCTGGAGCTAGGGCCTCAGCCCAGCATCTTAGCTTTTCAGACACAGTCATAAAGATGGAAATCTTTATCACTTAAACGTAAGTGTATGTCCTGCCTCACATCTCCTCCATCCCTCTTCCCAAACCTGGTGCCCTTTCGGGCTCACACTCCCAGCTTTGTTTCCGGACGCTGCTCAACACTAAGGCAGCTGAGCATTTCCAAGTCTTCCTGAGTCTAACCAACTGTTGGACATGGGGGTAACATCTCTCCCTCCAACTAGCAAGTTCAGGCGTGGGGACACATTATCGGGTCACAATCACACATCTACCAGGCAGCAAAATGCAATACAAACTTTTAAATTTTCTGTGCTGTGCTTCTGAGAGTCTTTGTGTTGCTATTTTAGCATAAGAGCCAACAAAACATTAATAGACTGTGAACAAGAAAATATAAGCGATTCCATCACCTTCTACCTGGAAGAAAAAGCTCAGGCAGGTAATTTAAACCTCTTAGCCTGCTGACAGAATATTAAGAATTAAGCTCACCTGCATTTAGAGTTGTGTAAATATAGGCTAATAAAACCATATTAGTGTGAAAAATGTTAAAAATCCTGAGTTCAATAAGGTCCCTTGGTAGCTATGTCTTTTTTAAAGTCTGTTAATCTATAGGCTCTCAGTCCACAGAACATAAAGGAAAAGGGTCATAGTCTATGATGAACCAATCTCCCCAATCCTTTTTTTGGGACAGGGTCCCACTATGTTGCCTAAGCACTTGAACCCAGGTGATCAAGTGACCCTCCTGCCTCAGCCTCCCCAGTAGATGGGGGTGTGATTCCAGCCCATCTCCACTCTCCCCACTCTTACTTTACCCTGGCTTCCAATCAAAAGAATTCAACCATCAGATAAAATATTTTTATTCCTATTGTTCATCTGCGGGGATCTCCTACAGGTAACAGAATTATGTTCAGCTGTCGGAACCCAAGTGTGGTCCTCTGTGAGCAGGCTGGGTTTTTATAGCATCGGTTCAAGGGGGCACCTAGATATCGGTACTCTTTTCTCTGCCTGCCCAGCTAAGCAGCTCAGCATCACTTTTGTCTGAGTAGAGGCTCCCATGTCTTAGCTGTTCTGTGTCTCCTTTTCCCATCTCTTTGTTCTGTCCATGCATGAGGAGTCACTATTGGAATTGGGGGTTAAATATGACTCATGGAAAGGCTGTTTCCAGACACCCTGCCTGTCCAGCTCCAGGATGAGCCCTATGGTAAATCTTTCAGGGAAACAGATGAGGATACAGATTTGTGATCTAAGAAAGCAGGAAAAAGGCAGTAGACAGCTGTGCCAATGCTAGGAGCCCTGGGTCTGCAGTAGGAGAGGCATCTGCCATCAAAAGGGGTGGCTTTCAACTTCGGGACTGAAACTGAGACTGGGATAGAATCCAGTACACTGACTATACCATTTAATATCCAGTGCCGAAAGAAAAGTAGAATACATTTTGGCCTTTGAGATGAAAGTTCTCTGGGGATCAGAAAGTAAACAGTCACAGCTATAAGAAAGGATTTAGAAGATTGGAAAACTGGAGGCAAGTCTGAATCCTCTTCTGAGGAGCTCCCCAGGCTCCAGCTTAGTTGAGCACCTGTGCGCCACTTCACGAGAGCAACAGCTGCCCGGAACAGCGAAAGGAGGGAAAAAGAAAAATCCTGTTTAAATTCTGATGGGTGCTTGTAAAGCACCGCACAATCTCTGTAAAACTTCTTTAAGGTCAATACTGCTACAAAAGTTACCGAATCAAGAAATTTAGCTAGCAAGAACTAGCCAGGGCCCAGGGGCAGTCATTAGAGGCTAGCTAGGAGGCAGAGATTAAGCCACCTGAAAACTACTGGGGCCAAGGAGTTTAGCTCAGTGGCACTGCACCTGCCTAGCAAGCACAAGGTCCCCAGTACCAAGAAAGAAAAAACAAAACAAACAAACAAACAAACAAAACAACTAAGCGTGGCCACCTTAATCAGGTCTCTTTGCAGTCATGATGTGAGCGGAAGAAACAGCTGCTGGAAGCTCAGCAGGCGGGATAATGCTCGGCACTCCACAGGCTCTCATTTCCAGACACATGGGCTCTGTTTTAATTGGAGACAACTAACTTGTCCAATGCCTGTTTTAAGTTTGGATCTCTATTATATTACTACCAATAACTTTAAGGGCTAGGTATTATAACATTATTTTGAAAAGAGACTCAAGGAGGTTGAGTAAAGTGTTCAGTGGTCTTTAGGTAGTACGTAGTACAGCTAATATTTGAACTCAAAGCCTGTGAGATAGGAAATTGAGTAACAGAAGTAAAGAGAACGTGTAAGGAATCCCCCTTGAGTTGCAAAAACAAGATGTGGGCAATATGCACATAACTATGCAAAAACCTCTTCCACTGTTTTATGATAGAGTTTAGACTCAGGCTAGAGGATAGCTCAGTAGTAGAGCACTTGCCTAGCATGCACGAAAAGGCCCTGGGTTTCATCCCCAGCACCGTGCACACACATGCGCGCACACACACACACAAACACTCATCTAGACTCCAAGTCATAAGCTTATAATATACCATTGGCTAGGGGTCAAAGCCTCTTAGAATTGGTGAGAAGTATAATATGGTCTCTGAGGAAGGCTCAGAAACAAGAGACAAGAGGCTGAAGACCTCTAAGGGCAGGACCTTTCCTCCACTTCATGCTTCTCGGGCGAGACAGCCTGGTGTACAGGGTCAAGAAAGAATTTGCTACAGAGATGCTACATCCAGGCCTGAGTGAGGAAGCAAGCTTCCTTTTGCTCTGTCTACATGCTGATGAGGCAAAATTCATAATAACATGGAGCATCGGGGATTTGGGCTGGGCCAGGCATGCATGAACTGGGTGTTTCTCATTTTCCTTTAAATACAGTTTAAGAAGAACTATATTATAAAAGTGCATCAAAGAAGTAAAAATGATTAAGATGTGATATGTATATGTACCAGTTCCCCAAGATGATTAAAATTATTATGTATTACAAACATATACCAATAAGAAAGTGTATCAGACAAGGTTGAAAACATTACCTGTAATTCCCTCACAGAAAACAGTCAGTGATCTGGTGGATATGACCATATGCCTTATTAGAGTTCCTATCCCCTTTTTAACTGCTTACTATTATATGTTAAACTATATACAATAAAAGTCATGGGTTGATGGATTATTTACTTTTTGGTAGACTTCCCATTCCCCATTATATTTTAAGATCAGTATGAAGAAGAATTATATGTCTAACTCTTTTGTAACCAAAGACTGATATGGAATAAGGGGCTTGATGATTATTTTCTGATAAAAGCATTTATACCATAAACATTTATAAGATAAATGTCCTCCCCTCTGTATACTGATACAGAATAAGGAGGAAAGAATGATCTTCAGAGAATACCTTAGTCCCTAGACGTCATCTCTGGGAGAGAAATGGCTCTCCGTCGTCTCACCTCTGTACAGTCCTTTAGATACCACTTTCCCCATCAGATAAAAATCTACCAGTTCATTCTCTAGAAAAGTACTTTCCCTAAAAGATAGAAAACAGTATTTTGAAACACTAGCTGACTTCCTCCAATTTCCCACTCTGAAATGGTCTTTACCTTCCACAGGGGAGGTTTTCAGTCTACTGCAGATATTCTGTACCCCGCCATAGTGGACATTGATCTGGGTCACTCCTTCACTTGCACGCAGCTCCATGAGCTTCCTCAACTCCATTAACGTGAAGCCAAAGTCCCCATCATGGCTCTCAGCTGTCGAGTTGGCCGGCAAGGCATGTCCTGATGGGTTCGTCATTTTGCCTGTGGTTCCCAGCTCCTCAGCCAGAGAAGATGAGGAGTCTCCCACTCAACTGACCAATGTCCCTTGCCTTCTTGTCCCTGCCTTTTCCTGCTTCTTGCTTTTCTGAAGTCCCAGTTAGAAAACAGAGAGACAATATCTTGTCAGGATAGCAACCCCAGCCTCGAGCCTTTCTTCTGTACAAGGCCTGTCAATGAGAAGAGGAAGAAGATGGAGGAACCAAGAAGAAGTCGGACTCCGTGTCACGATGATTGGCGTCCCCTGGGTGGTGATGGAAATGGCTGTCCAGGTCAGGTAAGTTCCTAGTTTAGGCTGACTTGTCCAAGTGGAGCCGTAAACAGGATCTGCATGTTACATGGAGGCAACCTTAGTGACAATCAGCAACTGTGGTGGTAGATCAGCAGCAGGAGGAGGAAGAGGAGAGCTCCCTGGATACTGATGACAACTGGATCTCTAAAACATAGATGCAAAGACAGGCAAAAAGAAATGATTAAAATGGCCATGAAGATCCTTGAACTTCTAGGGCAAGAAGTTCTAGCACAAGACTTTGGGTGACAGTTGATGTCTGAGCTTAACTGATAGCTGAGGTGTGGGGTGAGTGAACTGACTCATGAGAGGCCCCTTCCTCCCTGGGAGGCCCGAACAGACTGTACACTGCAGTAGAGAGAAGTTATTTCAGGTATACCCCAGCCTTCTGGTCTCACTTCTCCCAAACCAAGGCACACAAACGCCACAACTTCAGGAGTTTGGAAATAAAAGGTTATGACCTCCTGCAGTACTTTGAGGAACCCCTCACAGAATCCTTTAGTCTGATGTTACCTGTAAGAGGCAGAAAAAGGAGCCAAGACCCAAGTGGTCTGGAGTGGCCTGCCTGTCTGCTACCCTCTCCCACACCCACACTCCCCCACTTCCCCCTCAGACATTTACAAACCAGGAAGACAATGTGATAAGAAGATGCCCAAATCCTTCCTCCCTCAGAATACTTAGCCTTGAGCTGTATGGAAATTCAGCAGCCCGTGGCAGTTGTCAACCAGTCAGGCAGCAAATTTCAGTCTTAAGGCACCCACCCCAACACCAGGCTTTGAGGAGAAAGAGAGAATAAAATGCTCTGACAGTTTCTCACACAGTGTGGAGTCATTTTTTATAAAGGGGGTAGAAGGTCCTCTGAGGAGGAAAGATAGCAAGTCTAAAGCCTAAGAATTCGAGCATTTCTCAACGTGGGAGGGATAAGGCAGCTATCAGTTAAGCTAGAGAGGAGGCCACAGGACGTCATCAGAGACAACTTAGTCTACATGTGCAGGGCACCAGAGTTGCACTTCAGCACAGTGGCTGCAAGAGAGGAGGTGGACAGACAGGTGTCACCTCTCAGGTTGGCTGAGTAAGGTGTGGGGCAGATGCATGTGAGGATATGGAGGGCTGGAGGTGGGAAGAAGTCTGACCCTGGCTGCTTGCTGCGTGTCCTGCGGGAGCCACTGCCTCACGTCAGCCATCCTAAAGTGAAGGGGCGCTTCCTGAGCACAGCACTGGGATACTGGGGCCTCGTCCTGGCGAAACAGTTCCCCTCGCTTAGAGCTCAGTTACCAGGGATTGGCAAGGAACTCTGGTCAGACTGTTTAATTTGCAGGTGACACCCTCGCTTCTGGAAGGTGAACAAAGAGCCAAGGGCCTCATCAGATAAGGAGTTGATTCTTTTATCAATTACTTTCATCAAAATCACATGTGGCCAAAATCTGCTGCTTTCAATCAATCTTGCTCCCTGATTAGATTCATCTTTTTTTGGTGCCGGGGATCGAACCCGGGACCTCGCGATTTCGAGGCAGGTGATGGAACCACTGAGCTCAATCCCCGGGGCCCTTAGCTTGATCTTTTGAGGATGGAGGTTGCTACACTGCCCCCCTCTCCCAGGGTGCCCCTGCCACTCCTCATATCACAGATATTTAGCACTTCCCTGACTTACAAAGAATTAAGCAGGACAGTTCTACCTGTCTGTTTTCAAATATAACCTGGGGAACAAGGTCTGAGAAGAAGCTGAGGCAGTGGGTCAAACTCCATTTACATGGGCATAGAACAGGTAGTAAGGCTGCTCCTCCTTACCCACAATCCCGTGGAAAGCAGGGAGAGGAGAGGACAATAAGACGTTCTGGGAAAGAAAGAGAGACCATATTCACACAGTATGTTGCTGTCTGACTGGTGCCCTTTTTTGTTTATTTTTTGAGACAGGATCTCACTAAGTGCCAGGCTGGCCTCAGACTTTTGATCCTCCTGCCTCAGCCTCCTGCGTGTGTGAGATTACCGTTACGTGCCTCTAGCCCCAGCTTCTGCGTGCTTTCTGTTACACATTGCTCCTTCCTTTTCTCACAAACACCTAGAAGGCCTTTAAAATACAAACATCTCCAGGGTACAGAGAATACCTGCTTCCACTTGGAGGAAGGCTCACTTTCCCCCCTTTCTCTTCCAAAATAGATTAACCCACAGCCCAGCAACAGGGCCAAACAGATCCATCCTGCTTCCAGGCGCTTCATGCTCACCTGAGAAGGGGACGACCCACACGGCCCGGCCCAGATAAGCCAGCTGCAGTCGGCTCACTAGCAAGTTCCTGAAATAAGGAGCTGCCCAGTCAGAACCTTTACGGCCTAAGGCACCAAACCATCAACAGCAACCAGGGGAGGCCCAGGAGACAAAGCAGGCAGGAGAAGGGGAGGGCAGGGACCCGGCCCCTGGGGAAAGAGCCGCCTGGAGAGTAAGCTGCTCCAGGCAAGCTGCGTCCTGCCCGGCCTCTCTCACTGGATGGAGAACCTCTGCTGTTGGCAGTGGTAGCTCAGTGCTTTAGTGGTAGCGCAGTGCTCGGGGACACTGCTAGACAGGACAGGAGGGGTGATGAAGGGCATCCGTTGGAGGAGGCAGAGCAGCCCCCCCGCCCCGTACCAAAGGGAAATCTGCAGGGGCATCACTGGTCATCTGTTCTCAGAGCCAATCTCTTCCCAAGTGAGGTGCTACCTCCCCCAACTCAGGACCAGGATGGGCTGGGAAGAGGTGGGAAGGGAGAGAAGTAATATTCCTTGAGCACTTACCATGGGTCAGGTGCCATATTAGGCACTTCAGGTGAAAATCAGAAACTGCACATATATATAACCCTAATATAGATATTATACAGTGCCTAGCAGAGTGGCTGCTGCGTTGGTAAGCAGGAGGTATTATCATTATTAATGTAGTGGGTCTGAATTCTCACCAACAACCCTATGAAAAGAACCAATTCCCCATAAGGAATGTGATCATTATGTAATGCAAGCGTGTACTAATAAAAATGGGGGAAAAGGACATCTTCACTTTATACTAGGGACACACAGATTCAGAGAGCCAAGATTTGTGTCCTAGTCTAAATCCAAAGTCACTCTGCCTCAAGTATAAGACCAGTGCTAAGCTGGGCACACCTTGCAATTGCAGGTCCTTGTGAGGCTGAGGCAGGAGGATCTCAAGTTTGAACCCAGCCTGGGCGACTTTAGTGAGACCCTGTCTTGAAATATAAATAAAGAAGAGTTGAAGATGTAGCTCAGTGGCACAGAGCCCCTGTGTTCAATCCCCACCAGCAAAAAAAGGAGGGAGGATGATGTAAGAAAATGGAAAGAAAGCTATGGATTTACTTCCTAACCCTTGATGAGCCTGGCGGTTGTTTCATCTCGCGCTCCAAAAGGCTCTGAAATAGGGAAACATGGAGTTTGACTTCCTGCGGGTACAGGGATAGATACTGTTCCTGATCTTCCTCCCCATCCCCTGACCAGCACTCTGAGCCAGAATGCACCGGGCTCTAGACCTGCACAGTTTGAAGCAGGGCAGTCTCCACCTGGGAAGAGCCGGGGTGGGGATGTGGGTTCCCTCCACACCATCATCAGCTCAAACCCTTGGGCTGAGACCCCTGGGGATCTGGGAGGGGCACAGAGATACTGCCGGGCTAACGCCTGCACACCACCTGGAGTTCCTTAAGTTTACTCTGCTCAGGCATTCTCATGCTTCCAAAAGGGCTGTGTCCTGTCAAGAAGGCTGGCAGGGACCCGGCCACGGCAAGCGGACCATCTTAAACATCCCAGCCTGGCCCTTCTCTGGGCAGGTATTAAGCCTACACGGAGGTTGTTCTGCTCTCCTGCTCTCCATGCCCCTGATTTCCACCACTAAGATTCCAGCCCACCCTGGCCAACTCCTGCCACTCAGGACTGGTGGCCACTGTCACTGTGGCCCTGGGTTCCACCTTCCCTGCCTGGGCCTGCCCAGCCCTGATTGCTGCTCCGATGCCTGCTGCTTTGCAGAACTGACCTGAGCACATGCCCTCCTTCACAGACATGGGAAGAAGGTCAGAGTGTGCTGGCCAAAGTTCAGGTGGTGGATCGCACTGCTTCCCATCTTCATCCAACAGACACGCCTATGCCAGGAAGCCCAGTGAGGGTGGGGGCGCTGATCGCAGAGTGGCTCTCTGGGGTCTGCTCCAGGGCCCAATGCCAAGCTGTCCCCTAGCACTGAGCCTTCTTGGATGTGGTGGGGCTTCCTTCTTGAAGGAAAACACCATTTCCCTGCTTAGGAGGTGCTATGCCTCCCTCACTCCTTCCCCCCTTTCCCACATTGGCTTCCCTGAGAGTCATTTCTGGGCAGCAGAAATGCAGGACTAGAATTAGAGCCTCTGTCTGACCCCCGGCTCTCAGGGTTCCAGAATTCATCCCTCCCGAGACTTATCCTTGACCCCATCATCTACTCCTGGGTGTGTCTCCCAGAGAAATTTTCATACAGGATCTGAAGGGGACAATGTCCAAGGATGTTCACTGGGGCATTATTTACAGTGACAAGGAGTTGGGAGGATCCGAGATCCACTCACCCGACCATAGATAGGTAAACTATACGAGCCAGATAACACAGATTGTTGGCGAACAGTTAGCAACACAGATTAGATGTACACACAGCAATCTTGGTCATCTTCAACACGCAGTGGCTGGCAGAAGATATGGTTTCACAGCACTTATGAGAATTAAAAACACACACACAGCTAAGGCAATGTACAACACAGGCATCTAAAAAGTATTTAAGGAACATATTAAACAAAAAGATATCAGCACATTAGAATGATGCTCGTGGGCGGACAAGGGAATAGAAATAGGTTATGGGGAAAGAGTGGGCAAAGGAGGGGCCTCACATGGACCAATATATCCATCAGCTGATTGACTCTGCACTCGAGGTCCAAAATTATAAAAATAAAACACAGCATGATGCTAAGACCTCTTAGCCTTGGCATGGCTCTGTGGCCTGGGCTATGCTGTGATCATGATGGCAAAATGCATGAGTTCTGGCCGGAAGCCTTCAGGAGACAGGGAGAAGTTAGGGCCCCTGACAGGACAAGCTTTCCTCAAACAGTGATACCAAGAGTTGCCCTGTGGGGCTGGGGATTTAGCTCAGTGGTTTTGCCGCCTGCT